ATGGGCGAGGCAGATTGGTTGGTTGGCACCTTGAAGAGGATGAAGAGTTAATTCTTCACGATGAAGACAACAACGCTGATCTGGAGGAATCATACACTGACAGCGTGAAACATGACACAGAGGTTACAGCGGACAAAGTGGATGAAGAACCTGTCACGTTCGAGCTTGATGCTGTTGATCTGGACCGCCTTTAAGAGGAGAAATGGTACTACTTTGACGAGCGGCACGGTGGGCAAGTTCAAGTGGATGCTGCTCCGCTCTACGACGGACCAAGCGGTCCAACTAAAGCTGCTTTAGCTTATGCCGAAAACCCGTTGTCTATATTCTACTTCTTCCTCCCCAAAGAACTGTGGCGTCGGATTGCTGCTGAAACGAACAAGTATCGCCTCGATAGTGTTGACGAAGTCGCTCAAGGCATGCGCCGACGTGCTCTCGAGAAGCGGTTGACGACCCCTTCCACAACTGTTTTGTCTGTGGAGGAGTACCGGGTCAAGTTGCGACGCAAGAACAGTATTCAGCCGCACGATATAGTCCGATCCGGAATATGTTCGGGATGATCCGCGATGTGAACAGGAGTATACTGACTATCTTGTTTGTTGCTGTGTAGAATCGACATCTATTGTGGCAAAGCCGACAAGGACGAAACTGCAGTAGCTCAGACACTGTCGTGGTAAACCTCCAGCATGTCCTTCAAGGACAATCTGCACAACGGTTGATATTCACCGACAACTACTATTCTTCTATCCCGTTGTCGCACAAGCTGCTGGCCATGGGCACATGCACATGGGAGCTATTCGTAGTGATCGCAAGGGGTGGTGCAAGGAGCTGGAGTTCAAGTAGACGCGGCGACCGCAGAGTATGCTTCGAGGCACGTTTCGAATTGCGCAGTGGTGCCGCCATCCAGAGTTCATTGCTCTGAACTGGATGGACAACAAGCCGGTCCATTTTCTCGCGACGGGGTGTTCGACGTAGCTAACGCATGTGAGTCGACGTGAACCGGGTGGTGCAGTCTCCAGGGTGCTATGCCTTGAGCTTGTGAAATACTATCATGCGGCCATGGGCAGAGTTGATGTCCACTACCAGCTCCGCCTACAGCGCTACTCAATTCAGTGCTCGATTAGGATGCGGAAATATTACAAGTCGCTGTTCATCGGTCTCGTTGACATCGCCATGGTGAACGCATTCATTGTCCACAAGTTGGCAATGCGTAAGCTTCAGAAACCTGTGTCAACGCACGCAGTCTTCATGCGTCGCCTACACGCTGATCTTCTCGGGCAGACAGGTGACGATTTTTCCGGCCGCAACGACCTGGAAGAGCTCGTCACTCAACCGCTTCCGCGCGCGCGCCACACCCTTCAGAAGCTCGAAGAGAAGAACAAGGCAAAGACAAAGAACCGTCAGTGGCTCTGCAATGTGTGCCCGGCGTTTGCAGGTCCTAGGATTCGCAGTTTTAAGACCAGCTACTTCTGTGCGGCCTGCACACGCGCGAAGAGTGGCAGAATTTCGCTATTAATTAAGGTGGTATGCCACCACTATACTTCTCGCGATTTGATAGTTTGTCATGGCCGTGTGTACATGTAGCAGGAGGCCGTGGGTTACGGTAATGCAGACGTAATTTTCTATCCGAAGGTAACGGAAAGTCATCAGCTAGAGCGGTGCCAAGAAAAACACCTCCGTCGCTTCTTCCTCAGGATTAACAGAGGAGCAGCCATCTCCAAGCACTACCAGCAATACCGCCCTGCACCGACCACCAACCGGAGGTTCATCAGACTGTAGCACCAGTTTGTTTGGACACAAGAAGACGTGGTGGAAAAATAAGTTTGGAAAAGGCGACACTTGTGCGTTGGCACCGAAATCTAACACCACCTCCGGTGACACTCCGACGCCTCAAAGCAAAACCGAGAACACCCAACTAGAGGAAGATGCTTCTGGTAGCAGTGACAGCTCGTCTCTTGAGGGTACGAAGATACCAAACAAGCAGACAGGTTCATCTACCTCCGAATCGAGCGAAGACGCTAGTGGATCAGAAGCTTCAGAGTCGGGATCGAGCGGT